CCCAACCCCCAGAGAAAAACTACAGCTTGCTTTGCCTTTGACATGAAAAAAACAGGGGTGGGACGCGCAATAAGAGGAGGGTGGGTTCTTTTGAAAGCTATTCATTCATTAATGACTGGTTACATGGTGAACAGAGAGATGTCACCGACACCAATTCCTTCAGGCACTTCAATGGTTAAAGCTTGTTCGGGTTGGCAGCAAAACTGTTGCAGATTTTGATCTATCCTTCCAGGTCTCATAGAAACAGAGTACAATCCATAGACTTGGTTTAGTAGTCAAATTTATCATTTTATAAGCAAGAGATCTTAGATTTAATATTTATCACATTCCCTTGAGGACCAATTATCCTTATTCTTCAAGAAATATATTTTTAAACTTATTCGAGTTACGATGGTCAGCTTAAAATTGGAAATAGTAATTAACGCAAACCTGAATACCTTATAACAAAAAAAATAAAGTATAATTATAAGTACAGTTAAATCAAGTTAGGCTCCTGTTTTACTATGGGTGGCTACATGAATTGCACAATCACTCCCCTCGAAGAACTCCAGCATCACTATATTTCAGCATGAACAATATGGTGTGTGACCATGTACCCTTCTTGGTGGATTTTTTGACCATACTCCTATATTTCTTAAATTTTTTTATTATTTTATCATTGTTTTAAATAATTTTTTTATAGCAACTATACTACACTATGGGTAGACCAACAAAATTCAACGTGATCTGATTACTTGAGATGATTTAACACGAAAGCAGGTTTGCGTTTTATCTTAATGTGTTCATTTTGGATGCTAAATGGGTGAACGTGATAAATGAATCGTATTTGCGTGGAGTGAGTTAACTCATTTATCACCCAATTACTAGGTTAATAAATAACTAAAATTGTTACAAAATGAACGCTTTTGATTAACCGAGCTGGATACCTTTTAATAAAAAAAAGAAAAGAAAAAGAAAATTGGGTCAGGCTATGTATGACCAAGGAATATGACTTTGATGACAATTGTTTGAAATAGAGGAAAATATTATACATACCAACATTTTTATCAAAAAATACTTTTATAAAATGGGCTGGTAGCTTTAAATTACTCTTGGAATCTTTAAATGCTGATTAAAATATTTTTGATCGAAAATAAATTTATTAATTCATTTGATAAAAATATATTTTTATAAATATTTTGATAAATATAACTTTATCCTTCAAATAGGTGACACCTCTGTGTTGCAAGATAGATCATGACAGCAGTTTCATTTTGCTGATGATATAACTCAGGAGAGTGATGGATTTAGCAGCCACCAGTAGTATTTATAACTCTGATGGAGAGAGAGAGAGAGAGAGCAGTAGGCAATTCTCTGGAATTTATTCCACCCTAAAAACTAGGCTCCAGCACTCGCATTTATAACCCATGCCTTTATGGTTCTGTTAAATCACTCTGCACAGCCAGGAAGACTTTCTGGTACTGCATGGGCCACACCACAATTCATCTTATTTATTTCAAAACTCATTTTGAATTTTGTAAATCTTGGTTGGGTTCTATTGATATAATCATTGCGCCAATCAACAACGTGGCCAAGTTTCTGACATTTTATTTTTTGAATTAATTATAAAATGCCTCGCTTCAAGTACAAGTCATGCTACAATTAGATCTTTGTAGTTTTAATTTAAACAATTTATCGCCCTTGAGTTTGTAATTACATCTATTAATCCATTGCCGTTAAATTTTATTGTAAAAAAAATGAGCAAACGTGAGCTCAAATTCTAGTAAAAGACTTTTTTACCCTTTTTGATCCCTTATTTTGTAACCAAAAAAAAATTGAAAAATATCTCAACCCCCGTACCGTTCAATTCCCATCAAGCCTCCAGATACCATACTTTCCCCTCAAAACCCCTTTTAGGCAACAACCCTTGGATAACCCGTCTCCCTCCCTGACCTTCGCCCCCTTCCACCCCTTCCATTGAGCTTAACCATTGTCGCCCCCGTAGTTCAAAGTTTTTTTAGGGATTTTGATCGAATCTGAATGGGTTGTTTGTTTGTCGTTAGTAGACGTCTGGGAATGGTGTAGCTAGCTTGAAAGATACCTTGTTGGGGATGGAGGTGAATGGCTGTTGGAGTTGGGTATAAGGGTCAGGGTACGTTTAGAGTAAGGGAAGGGGGCGCCGAAATAGAGAAAAAAGTTGGGGTTATGTACTCTTTAGGGCTTTGTGCTTTAATATGTTGGGTAGGAAGAGAAGAAAAAGAGAATATATTAAATGTTGAGGTTATTTTAGAAATTTTGTATCTCCCATCCATTTTGTGAGTCAATTTGACTTTGTCAAAACTTTAGGGGAGTAAATTGTTTAAATTGAAACCACAAGAACCGATTGCAACATGACTTATATTTGAAGCGACCATTTTTGTAATTAATCCATATTTTTATAACTATGTATTTTAGTTTGAGTTATTTATAAATACAAATTTATAAAAATAATAATTAATAAAAAAATTATTGGTGTCATATGATCTCATAATAGTTTTGATTCTTTTGAACATCCTATTGCAATCCTTAATCACGGGTTCTAATTTAGCGTGAAAAAAAAATCATAATACGCCATCAATAAAATTTTTATTTAGTAGACATCGTTTTTTATTTAACTTTAACTCAAATATCTAGTTCAAATCAAACTTAATTCAAACCCAATTAACCTAATTAGGATTCTTATCCGGTTCAAATTACACTCAATCAAATCATAATAAAAAATTAATCCTTGACTTGGATGGGACTAGTGTCCAGGAGTGACGGTGGTCCAAACTCTAAACGTCGGATACAGCTTGACAGTTACTTCTAGCAGAAGCGTGAGGCTCCTTGGCGACGGACTTCCTCGCCAATAACTGCTTTCCCAGGGCTAATTTTGTCATTCAAACCAATCATATAACTTAATTACGTATAAATAAACAAGATGAGAATTATTTTTTTTATATTTTTAATTTCTTATGTTCGAAGAAATTATAAATTTAAATAAAGACTGATATTTTGGAGCTTTCCAACGTCCCTGCCTTTAAAGTGCCATCTAGAACCGAATATTTTAGCCCTCACCAACACCACCACTAGCTCCACCACTCCACCACCTTCTCCAACTATTTCTGTATCTAACAAGACACCCAACTCTCTCTCTCTCTCTCTCTCTCTCCGCAACTGAAAAGTGAAATGAAATCAGCTGCAAACAAAAACTAATTTACGCAGATCTTGACTTTGTGTATCTTATCTAAATTGTCACCACCTGCATTGTTGTGGTTGTCTCTACAAAGCTGCATTGACAACTGGTGAGTTAATTCTCTGTATTTCTGAACTTTTTGATTTTCGTCCTTTTCTCTTTATGTGTTTGTTGATAGCGTCATTGAAACTCCACCGTTTTTTGTTTTCACTGTCCTTTGTTTTTCTTCTTAGATTGTGCTCTTTTTGTTCTTCTTCGATCCTGTATGTTCCTCATTATGAATGCTTGATTTATGGATTCAACCTTAAGTTCCTCTTCGCTTTGTTCTGGATTTTTACAGAGATACGTTTCACTTTCAGTTTTGTTCTGAAGAAATGCTAAATTTCTCGGCGATTCAGTGTCTTTTTCAGTGAAATCGTGAATGCCTTTTTTTTTTTCTCTTCCCCTCTCATATAAGCGATTCAGTGTCTGTTGTTTTGGATTGAGTTTTATCTGCTTAAACTCAGATATTTGTTAGACTTCTAATTTTACGCCATTGTTTTTGCTGATTTTATTAGAACTTATACCGTTCATATAATTCTTTAGCCCTTTTGCCTCCGTTAAAGGTATGAATTTCTTTTGATTCAAGAATCTGCTGGTTTACGAGTTCTCTAGTTACATCTGTGGGGGATTCAAACTTTGATTGATGACTTTTCTCCATGGAATTTTGCGTGGATTACGCTCTGATTTACTCTGCTGTAATTGGAGCATTTGTGTTCTAATGATTAAAAAAACTCAGATTTAAGGTAATTTCCGGCAATGCATGTCACCGTTTGCCCTTTTCTTATGTTTATACTTCATTATTATCCTTGTCAGATTTTCCGAATGCCATCATTCATAGTATGCTTTCTTTTTTGCTGGAGGTTGGTCGTTTTCTTCTTCATCTCCCTCCCCTAGTCTACTTTTAATTACTGGGGTTGTTATGAGCCTTAAATCTACTTTTCTTTTTCTTTTTTGTGTAAATTGGGATCTGCATTGGTGGTCTGAATTGAATGTCATGAGTAAGCTTTTTCTGGCACTCTATTTGATTGTCCCTAAACTTGAAAAACATCATAGAAGAAAGGATCTGCGAGCTTATGATTTATGCTGTATATGTTTCAGGTCCCAATTTCTTTCTTTTTTTTTTTCTTTTTTCTTTTTTAATTTCCTGCATGTGGTATCAAAATTTGTTCTTTTCCTTTTTGCACCCTGTGTTTTGTTTTGAATGAATCAGATTACTTATTTGCATCAACTTTTATCAAGAGTGGAACAGAAGGCTCATAATGCAATCCTGAGATATCTTTATAAGCAGGCTTTGTGCAAGGAGAGAGAATTGCTTCCAATATGTCTCATTATTTCAGTTTTGATCTGCTTCTGAGTTTCATGCTCAATCAATTGGTGTTCATTTTTTGCACCGATTGTAAATGCTCATTGTTCTTACTGAATATCAAGTAACTAAACATATTTTTGAAAAGACAAAGAACATACACTGACTGTTAATTAATCAGTAACTAAGCAGATTCATTTGGTCTCAAAATGTCCAAGAATTTGCCACAGTTTCCCGTTGCTGTTGGAATTCTTTTCTTTCTCACTCATCCCCGATGAATTTTACACACTCACCCCAACAACGGCAACATCACCACAATAGCACTGAACATCTGGTTAGATTTTTGCACGTGATTATCGGTATGTTCTGGCTTGGGTAATTGAGTTCATGTTGTTAACTGGAGATTTTATTGCTTGGTACCTGATGTATAAGATTCCTTTTAGTCTGTGCACCCTTCACGGTATGGTAATTGGATATTTCTGAGCAGAGTTTAGTCGAGCTCATTGTAACAATTGCAGGAAAGTTTTAGATGTTTCAGCGGTAAACTACATTATGATTACCTTAGACGAAATCAAAAGCTAAAAAAGAAAATAACTAGAATTGCAGAAACTAATTCCTTTTGAAGTAGACCTGCTTGATTGTGCTATTGTGACTTTACCTGAAAGTTGTGCTATTATGGGCTATTGTTGATGTTAACTAATTACATGCATTTGGGACCTAAGTCCATTCAGGGATTGCATCAGTATCATAATATTGTTAACTGACATTCTGATACTACCTTGTATATCTGCACAGTCTGCGATGGATCGGCGGAGTTGGCCCTGGAAGAAAAAATCATCTGATAAGCCATCTGCTGAGAAAGCTGCGACTGCATCAGACACTGCTTCTGTCCCTTCAGCTTCAGCTGTATCCCGGGGTGATCAGGTATGTTCCATGAAACATTATGTGGTTCTTCTAGATTATTCTTGTGTCCAGAAGATACTAATTTATATAAATATTATTACTGGGAATTGGAGTTTTACTTGATATGAAAATTTTTAAGCACGGCTTTTCGTGGAATGTGTTATTGAACAGACTTTATATAAAAATTTTAAGAGAAGCTTTTCACGCACAATTGAAGATATGCCAGTCAATAGTATTGGTGAAGTTCCGTATTTTCAAGAGATATTAGCCAAGTCATTGCTATCAAATGTAGTGGTGAAGCTTGCATACTTTGTACTTGTTAAATGCTTTCGAGAATAGGCAATTGTCAACAGTGTGTAACATCAATTTATCACTGAAATAAGTTTATATTTTCAAATAATTTTATTTTTTAATTTCTTCTCTAGTTTAGTAAAAGATGTAAGAGATTCCCAGAGATAATTGTCTTACCAGATAGCTTCTTTTGCATGAGTAGTTGGTCAAATTGATTTGCGGTTTTGTGTTCCAGGGTAAGCTGGATGACTACAAAAAGCCAAACTATGTTCAAATTTCTGTGGAGTCGTATTCACATCTAACTGGATTGGAGGCACAAGTGAAATCATACGAGGATCAAATTAATACTTTAGAAGATGAGGTTAAGGAATTGAACGAAGAGCTGTCAGCATCCCATTCAGAGATGACAACAAAGGAAAATTTGGTCAAACAACATGCTAAAGTCGCCGAAGAAGCCGTCTCAGGTGTGAAATTGATCTTATTCTTGTACATAAAGGAAAAAGACCAATTGTGCACATAGTAATATTTTTCAGAGAGAAGTTCATTTTAATCTATCAGAGATGAAAATTTTGTCCAATAACACTTTTCTTTGACCCCATACGAATTATTCATTCAAGCAATGTACTAGCAGTTGTATGAAGCCACAAAGGGTTCTTTGATGTGATAACGAATTGATTATTTATGTTAAGTTTAGAGGATTAACACAATATTAGAGAGACACAGAGATAGGTTAAAAACATAACCTAATTCTCATACATCACTTGTATTTGTAGTTAACTCATAATAATAAAAATTACACATACTACCCTAATACTCTTAACATTCCCCCTCAAGCTGGACTATATATATCATATAATCCAAACTTGAAACAAATAGCTGTAAGACATGTATGACTCAATGCTTTGGTAAACATATCTGCAAGCTGATTTTCAGATTTCACAAATGGAGTCGTAATCTCCCCAGCTACTATCTTGTCCCGAATAAAGTGATAATCAACCTCAATATGCTTGGTTCTCTCGTGAAACACAGGATTGACAGCGATATGGATAGCTGCCTGATTGTCACAGAACAACTGTAAAGGAAGTTGAATTGGAAACCCAATTTTTCGGAGAAAGTGTAGTAGTCAAGTCAACTCATTCGTCGTATGTGTCATTGCCCTATACTCAACTTCAGCACTGGATCTTTACCACGAGTTGTTTCTTATTTTTTCATGAGACAACATTACCTCCTAAGAAAGTACAATAGCCAGTAGTTGATCTCCAATCAGAAGGAGAGCCAGCCCAATCAACATCTGAGAAACCTTCCACTCTAAGATGTCCATTAGCTCGATATAACAGTCAAAGTCTAGGAGTTCGTTTGAGATATCGCAAAATACGAGTAACTGTCTCCCAATGTGGTACTTTAGGACACCCCATGAACTGACTTACTATATTGACTACATAGGAAATATTCGATCGAATAATAGTAAGATAATTAAACTTTCCAACCAATCTGCGATACCGACCCGGATTCTCAAACAAGGCACCATCATCCATCAATAATTTCTAATTCGGATTCATAGGAACATCAATCGGTCTACCACCCAGTAAACCTGTTTCTTCAAGCATGTCGAGTACATATTTCCTCTAGGATAAACAAATACCCTGTTTAGATTGAGCCACCTCAATACCCAAGAAATACCTGAGTTTTTTTAAATCCTTAGTTTGAATTCGATCCTGTAAGAATATTTTTAACTTGACAATTCCNTCGATATAACAGTCAAAGTCTAGGAGTTCGTTTGAGATATCGCAAAATACGAGTAACTGTCTCCCAATGTGGTACTTTAGGACACCCCATGAACTGACTTACTATATTGACTACATAGGAAATATTCGATNAATATGCTTGGTTCTCTCGTGAAACACAGGATTGACAGCGATATGGATAGCTGCCTGATTGTCACAGAACAACTGTAAAGGAAGTTGAATTGGAAACCCAATTTTTCGGAGAAAGTGTAGTAGTCAAGTCAACTCATTCGTCGTATGTGTCATTGCCCTATACTCAACTTCAGCACTGGATCTTTACCACGAGTTGTTTCTTATTTTTTCATGAGACAACATTACCTCCTAAGAAAGTACAATAGCCAGTAGTTGATCTCCAATCAGAAGGAGAGCCAGCCCAATCAACATCTGAGAAACCTTCCACTCTAAGATGTCCATTAGCTCGATATAACAGTCAAAGTCTAGGAGTTCGTTTGAGATATCGCAAAATACGAGTAATTGTCTCCCAATGTGGTACTTTAGGACACCCCATGAACTGACTTACTATATTGACTACATAGGAAATATTCGGTCGAATAATAGTAAGATAATTAAACTTTCCAACCAATCTGCGATACCGACCCGGATTCTCAAACAAGGCACCATCATCCATCAATAATTTCTAATTCGGATTCATAGGAACATCAATCGGTCTACCACCCAGTAAACCTGTTTCTTCAAGCATGTCGAGTACATATTTCCTCTAGGATAAACAAATACCCTGTTTAGATTGAGCCACCTCAATACCCAAGAAATACCTGAGTTTTTTTAAATCCTTAGTTTGAATTCGATCCTGTAAGAATATTTTTAACTTGGCAATCTCCTCAGAATCATTCCCAATAATCACAATATCATTTAGATAGACCACCAATAGGACATATCCAACATCTGTTTGTCTATGAAACACAGAATGATCTGTGTGACATCAAAGAAGACGAAACTCTAAAACTGCATCTGAAAATTTATCAAACCATGCCCTAGGTGACTGCTTCAAACCATACAAAGATTTCTTTAACCTACATACACTCTTACCATACTCCCTCTGAGCAGTAAACTCAGGTGGCTGTTCCATGTATACCTCTTCAACCAAGTCACCATATAGAAAAGCATTTTTGATGTCTAACTGAAACAAGGGTCAATCAAGATTAGCAGTCAAAGAGATCAAGATACGAACATAAAAAATTTTGGCAACAGGAGAAAAAGTCTCCTTATAATCAACACCATAAGTCTGAGTAAAGCCCTTTGCAACAAATCGGATTTTGAGACGCTCCACAGAACCATTTGGATAAAATTTAACAGTATACACCCAACGACAGCCAACAGTTCGTTTACTAGGGGGTAAATGAACGAGATCCCAAGTCCCATTATGATGTAAAGCATTCATCTCTTTCTCCATAGCTTTCCTCTAACCTGGATCAGATAAGGCATCATGTAAATGCTTAGGAATAGATATAGCAGATAATTGAGAAGTAAAACAGGAGACAAGACATCATATTAAACAAAATGAGAAATGGGATGATTAGTAACACACGAACGAGTACCTTTGCGAAGAGCAATAGGTAAAGAGTCTAAATTACCTGATATACCAGGATCAAAAGGCGGCAAGGAAGATGGTACGGGCACCTCAGTCGATGGGCGAGGACGGCGGGAGTAGACATGGCGAGGTAAAGTAGATGGTAACACATTGGGCAGCGGAATGTCTGAAGATGAGGAAAGAGATTGTAGTACAGGAGATGATCCAAAGTCCAGATCTAAAGGCTAAAAAGGTGTTGGAAAGTATGGAACAGATTCTTTAAAAGTGACATCGACACTAGTAAAGTATCATTGCAAAGAAAGACTGTAACAACAATACTCCTTCTACGTGCGGGAATAACCAATAAATACATATTTGGTAGCTCGAGGGTCAAGCTTGTCAAAACCAGGACCCAAATTGTGAACATAACAGACACATCCAAAAATCTTAGGAGTCAGGAAAAATAAAGGTTTACTAGGAAAAAGGACAGAATATGAACTTTGCCCATTTTACATAGAGGATGTCATATGATTAATAAGATGACAAGCAATAAGAACAGTATCACTCCAAAAATATTGNAAGTCTGAGTAAAGCCCTTTGCAACAAATCGGATTTTGAGACGCTCCACAGAACCATTTGGATAAAATTTAACAGTATACACCCAACGACAGCCAACAGTTCGTTTACTAGGGGGTAAATGAACGAGATCCCAAGTCCCATTATGATGTAAAGCATTCATCTCTTTCTCCATAGCTTTCCTCTAACCTAGATCAGATAAGGCATCATGTAAATGCTTAGGAATAGATATAGCAGATAATTGAGAAGTAAAACAGGAGACAAGACATCATATTAAACAAAATGAGAAATGGGATGATTAGTAACACACGAACGAGTACCTTTGCGAAGAGCAATAGGTAAAGAGTCTAAATTACCTGATATACCAGGATCAAAAGGCGGCAAGGAAGATGGTACGGGCACCTCAGTCGATGGGCGAGGACGGCGGGAGTAGACATGGCTAGGTAAAGTAGATGGTAACACATTGGACAGCGGAATGTCTGAAGATGAGGAAAGAGATTGTAGTACAGGAGATGATCCAAAGTCCAGATCTAAAGGCTAAAAAGGTGTTGAAAAGTATGGAACAGATTCTTTAAAAGTGACATCGGCACTAGTAAAGTATCATTGCAAAAAAAGACTGTAACAACAATACCCCTTCTACGTGCGGGAGTAACCAATAAATACATATTTGGTAGCTCGGGGGTCAAGCTTGTCAAAACCAGGACCCAAATTGTGAACATAACAGACACATCCAAAAATCTTAGGAGTCAGGAAAAATAAAGGTTTACTAGGAAAAAGGACAGAATATGAACTTTGCCCATTTTACATAGAGGATGTCATATGATTAATAAGATGACAAGCAATAAGAACAGTATCACTCCAAAAATATTGGAGAATATTCATCTGGAATAACAGGACACGGGTGACTTCCAACAAATGACGGTTCTTGCGTTTAGCAACACCATTTTGTGGAGAGGTGTAAGCACAAGAAGTTTGATGAATAATGCCAGTTTTATTAAGATAAGCTGAACAAAGATCAGATTTATATTCCCGAGTATTATCAGAACATAAAATACGGATACGACACCTATACTGAGTTTTTATTTTCTTATGAAATGTCTCAAATATAGAGAATAATTCAGACCGAGCTTTCATCAGAAACAACCAAGTTACATGAGAATAGTCATCCACAAATGATACAAAATAAGGATATTTATTAGATGAAATATTTTTTATTGGACCCTATACATCAGAATGTACCAACTCAAATGAACTAGATACACGATTATTGACTCGAGACTAAAATGACACACGGTGATGCTTACTAAGTTGACAAGCTTCACAAGACAAAGACGACACAGAAGTAAGACTGGGAACCTAACGCTTTAGATTTTGGAGAGAGGAATGTCCAAGACGACAATGTCACTGAAAAGGAGATAACGAAGTCTGTAAAGCCCGAGTAGGTGAATCAAAATCAAAGTAATATAGGCCACCAGTTTCATGTCCTATACTAATCTTAAGACGACACANTACTAGGAAAAAGGACAGAATATGAACTTTGCCCATTTTACATAGAGGATGTCATACGATTAATAAGATGACAAGCAATAAGAACAGTATCACTCCAAAAATATTGGAGAATATTCATCTGGAATAACAGGACACGGGTGACTTCCAACAAATGACGGTTCTTGCGTTTAGCAACACCATTTTGTGGAGAGGTGTAAGCACAAGAAGTTTGATGAATAATGCCAGTTTTATTAAGATAAGCTGAACAAAGATCAGATTTATATTCCCGAGTATTATCAGAACATAAAATACGGATACGACACCTATACTGAGTTTTTATTTTCTTATGAAATGTCTCAAATATAGAGAATAATTCAGACTGAGCTTTCATCAGAAACAACCAAGTTACACGAGAATAGTCATCCACAAATGATACAAAATAAGGATATTTATTAGATGAAATATTTTTTATTGGACCCTATACATCAGAATGTACCAACTCAAATGAACTAGATACACGATTATTGACTCGAGACTAAAATGACACACGGTGATGCTTACTAAGTTGACAAGCTTCACAAGACAAAGACGACACAGAAGTAAGACTGGGAATCTAACGCTTCAGATTTTGGAGAGAGGAATGTCCAAGACGACAATGTCACTGAAAAGGAGATAACGAAGTCTATAAAGCCCGAGTAGGTGAATCAAAATCAAAGTAATATAGGCCACCAGTTTCATGTCCTATACTAATCTTAAGACGACACAATAAGAAGGATAAAAGGTTACAGAACAATTGAGAAAACGGGTAATCTTGTTAATGGAAAGTAAACTAAAAGAAAACTGAGGAACAAATAATACGTAAGATAGGGACATATCAGGACTCAAGTTAGTAGTCCTCAAACTTGAAACTTTAGAACTAGTGTGGAGGTAGCAGACTGATAAGTAGAAAAAAATCAGACGCACCAGTCATGTGATCAGAAGCGCCAGAGTCTATGATCCAGGGACTGCGATTGGAGGACAATAAACAAGTGGAAACAATACCTAATTGGGCAAAAGTAGCAGTGGAGGGAGATGAAATAGTTTGTTGCTGAGATAGGAACTGGGCATACTCCTCTCGAGTAATAGTAACAAATCCAGTGTCTTGCTTGGGTTTCATAACAGTGCAGCAAATAACAAACAAAGAGTGCTGCAATACTGAACCAGAAGAAAAGACGGAGGCTGAATAACTGAATCGGAAAGAATCGGACCTGATAAGGTTGTTTGAAGATTGAACCGGACCACAGGAGCACTAAACTGGACTGGAAAAGTAGGTTAGACCACTGAACTGGACCCCTCTTACTTGCTAGAATGCTGAACCGGGTTGGAAAATATGGCAGAACCATTGAACCGGACCAGCGAAGCTCTTTGGACCGCTGAACCGGACCCCTTCTACTTGCTGGAATACTGAACCGGATTAGAAAATTGGGCTAAACCACTGAACCGGACTAGTAAGGCTCTCTGGATCGCTGAACCGGCCTGAACCGTGATCCGGTTTAAGATGAACCGTGGTTGGACCGAGATTGGACTTAAAACAATTTAAGTTAGCTTGACCCGATTTGAACCAGATCCAAAACTCGGGTTGGATCCTGTCTTCTTCTTCGCTAATTAGGGTTCCAAAAAGGACCCTCTGGTCTGCGACATAGCACATAGCACACACCACAAGCAACGAAGGACCCTCTAGTCTGTGACACAGCACACACCACAAGCAACCACCACTGCCGCCGTCTGCGACACAACACACACCACAAGCAACGACCACCCCTGCCACCGTCTGCGACACAACACACACCACAAGCGACGACCACCAACCACCACTGCCACCACACACCACAGCCACACCACTACCACGAAGAGTATTACTCAACACACCACAAGCGACAAGTGACGACCACACGATGAACACAGAACACACCACAACAGTGTTAATATATTTAGGATCGTTTGTGCTCTGATACCATGTTAAATTTAGAGGATTAACAAAATATTAGAGAGAAACAGAGATAGGTTAAAAACATAACCTAACTCTCATATATCACTTGTATTTATAGTTAACTCACAATAATAAGAATTACACATAATACCCTAACACTATTAACAATTTATACATACTACCCTAATACTCCTAACACTTTATAATATAATGTCTCCATGCACAGGTTGGGAAAAGGCTGAGGCTGAAGCTGCAGCAATAAAAAATCATTTAGAATCTGTAACGCTGTTGAAGCTCTCTGCTGAAGATAGGGCCTCACATTTGGATGGTGCTCTGAAGGAGTGCATGAGGCAGATACGGAATTTGAAGGAAGAACATGAGCAAAAACTGCATGAAGTTGTTCTTACCAAAACGAAGCAGTGGGCAAAAATAAAGCTTGACTTTGAGGCGAAGATAAATAATTTAGATCAAGAACTCCTCAGGTCTGCTGCTGAAAATGCTGCACTTTCGAGGTCTTTGCAAGAGCGTTCTAACATGGTGATAAAATTGAGTGAGGAAAAATCACAAGCTGAAGCGGAGATTGAACTTTTGAAGAGCAATATTGATTCGTGTGGAAGGGAAATAAATTCATCTAAATATGAACTCCATATAGCTACCAAAGAACTAGAAATTCGTAACGAGGAGAAGAACATGAGTGTGCGATCAGCAGAAGTGGCAAACAAGCAGCACTTAGAAGGAGTTAAGAAAATTGCTAAGCTGGAAGCAGAGTGCCAAAGATTGCGTGGTCTTGTTAGGAAGAAGTTGCCTGGTCCTGCAGCACTGGCGCAAATGAAACTAGAAGTTGAGAACTTAGGCCGGGATTTTGGAGAAACTAGAGTAAGGAGGTCTCCAGTAAAGGCCCCAAATCAGCACTTGCCATCATTGCCTGAATTTTCTCTGGACAGTTTACAAAAGTACCATAAAGAGAATGATTTACTGACAGAACGTCTGTTGGCAATGGAAGAAGAAACAAAGATGCTGAAAGAAGCCTTGGCAAAGCGCAACAGTGAACTGCAAGCTGCCAGGAACATTTGTGCTAAGACAATCGGCAAGCTTCAAAGTTTAGAAGCACAACTGCAAGCTCCTAGTGAACAGAAAAGAACTCCAAAATCTATTGTCCTGATCCCCACGGAAGGTTCCTTCAGTCAAAATGCAAGCAATCCACCAAGCTTAACCTCCATATCTGGAGATGGGAATGATGATGAAGCAAGTTGTGCCGGCTCTTGGGCTACAGCATTGGTCTCTGAGCTCTCTCATGTCAAGAAGGAAAAGAACATTGAGAGTCCAAACAAGGCAGAAAATGCAAATCACCTGGAGCTAATGGATGATTTTCTGGAGATGGAGAAACTGGCGTATTTATCGAATGGTTCAAATGGAGCTATCTCCAGTTCAGATATACCAAATAATACGAGATGTGAAACGCAGGGACTGTTGGAAGATCAGGTGTCTTTTAAAGTGGAGGTTTCAGATCTAAATTCTCAATGTGATGCAGAGTCGCTGCCCTTCATGAAGCTCCGATCAAGAATCTCAATGTTACTTGAATCAATGTCTAAGGACACTGATATGGAGAAAGTTTTGGAGGGTATTAGGCATGTTGTGCAGGACATGCACAACGGTCTGCATCAGCAGCCAGTCGAGGCAACTCACTTGCCAGATGAAATGTGTCGTGAGGCTAGTCTTGAGGATGCTGAATTACATGCAGAAAAGGAAATCTCTTTGTTCCAAAATTGTAAATATGGTACAGATACTGTGCATACAATAAGCCAAGAATTGGAAGCTGCTATCTCTCAGATTCATAACTTTATCTTGTTCCTGGGCAAAGAGGCTAAGGCTGTCCTGGTTCCATCTCCTGATGGAGATGGACTGGGCCAAAAACTGGAGGAGTTCTCTGACACCTTTAATGAGGTTATAAACGGCAGTACAAGTCTGGTTGTTTTTGTTCTTAATCTTTCTTATGTGTTGACTAAAGCCAGTGAACTCCACTTTAATGTTCTTGGCTATAAAAATGCTGAAGCAGAAACCTGTAGTTCTGATTGCATAGACAAGGTTGCCTTGTCAGAGAATAAGGGTGTTCAGGATTCAACGGGTGAGAAATATTTAAACGGTTGTGCCCGCTTTTCTGGTTCAATTTCTGATTCCGACATTCCCCATGAAAGAGGTTTTGTCCCGACCTCTGAATCAGCTGCCTCAACAAGGAAGTGCTCACCGGAGGAGGTTGAACAATTGATATTAGAAAAAGATAACATGGTAATAGATCTAGCTAGATGTACAGAAAATCTGGAAAGCACCAAGTTCCAGTTGCAGGAAACAGAACAGCTTCTAGCAGAGGTTAAATCACAGTTGACATCTGCCCAAAAGTTGAATAGCTTGGCTGAGACACAGCTAAAATGTATGGCAGAGTCATACAGATCACTTGAAGTGCGAGCTGAGGAGTTGCAAACTGAAATAAATCTTCTGCGGACAAAAACAGAGAATTTGGATAATGAGCTTCACGAGGAGAAGAGGAGCCATCAGGATGCTTTGTCCAGGTGCAAGGATCTTGAAGAGCAATTGCAAAGGTTAGCATCAAACTTTTTTTCTGTCTCGGGCTGGCATGCCTCGTATTTCTCTCACACTTGCACTTTGGGTTTAACATTAAAGCCTTATCCTCTCTGGACCCGAATAGGATTTCCTTATATTTTGTACAGACCAGGGTAAAATACATTATTACGATGTTATCTGCTGTAGTTCTTTCAATACCAGGCTTAGACCCTAATGTATTTAAATCCCCAAGAAAAAAACATTTTCAGTCAGATCTTAATGCATGGGAAAGACAGAAATATTTGCACATGACATTCTCACCCTGGGGGCACTTGCCTCTTCTCTTTCCATTTCTTGGTTTTAGAAGACACCTTCGAACTCCTTTAAGCAATGGAAAATTTGTTTTCTATCACACTGTGTTTTGTCAATTCACTCGATTGCACTTCTGTTCACAGCATTAACTGGTTACTCATGATTGAGATAGAACTTAATGGAGTTGTTTTTGGCCGCTTCGGCTTAGATATTGTTGATGGTTTTGGATGGGGGTTTTAATTTCTTTTGATGTAACTCTATTAATGTGTAAATATTAAAAACTTAAATATTTTTATTCACTCATGTGTCAGCTAGATTTTAATTATCTAATTCTGCCTGCCCTAATTTTTATCAGGATTGGGAGTTGCCCAGCTGTAGATATTGACACCAAGACTGACCAGGTGAGTGGAATAACACCCTGTGTTCATATGTTGGAGTTGCCATGTAGGCATTCACTTCAAACTTCTCTGCTTATAGGAATTAAAATTAAGATATCTGGATGAACATACAATCTCTGCCTTTATGGGGTATAGCGTGCTGTTAGACAATAGAGTTTAAGCTATAAGGTTGTGCTTAGTCACGTAATGTTTTTAGTATTTATTTGAATGCAGTTTGATCAATGGTTGTTTTTCATTAGTTTATTCCACTGTGTCACTCTTTGTTCAAGAGTGACTTGATGTTTTTGTGGTATTATTGGTTTAATTCCTTGGGAATATTTAGTGTTATGAGCTTACAGTTCCCTTTAACTTTGTTGTGCTTGATGGTGCTACCCTCCCTCCCCAAGCTGTACATCAGTCAGATTGATAGCATCCAAAAGTTTTTCTTGGTAAGCCTGTCACAAAAAATTGAATTAAGTAGCAGACCTGGTATGCTCTTGGAATGGACTAAGCCTATCACAAAAATTGAAATCATCAATGGATTCTTCATCCCTAACATGATCCCAAGTTTCCTGCTGGTAAGATCGGAGAAGTCTTTATCTGTAGGTTCGTAAAGAACGAGGGAGTCTTTGAAACGATAAGTTTTTCATCTCTTCCTCTCCCCCAATAAAGATGTGTCCAAGGGTGCTACTTTGGGCAGGCATGCTTCTTTTTTATGGGACACCCATCACTTTGGATGTGCTTGATTTGCATTTATAGTGTTAGCATTAGACTTATGATGGATACTCTCAAGATCTAGGGTGTTCTCTTCAACTTGCCTTAATGAGGACCACAATTTTCCCAATTTAAGTCACTGGGCTTCCTTAGCCTTTTATTTTTTTTCACTTGATTTTCCTTTCTTTGTTAGGAGTTTTTGGTGAACAAATTAAGTGCTCTTATAAGTTGTCACTTTAAAAAGTTCCCGACATGTCATATATGCTTTATATTTAGGGTATACTATTCTTTATGATTGTTATGTTTTCTCTCCATATTACTAATTGTGACGCTATCAGTGATTCCTCTTTTAATCATGTATTCAACAGTGATGACATTGACCTGTTTCTTTAATTACAGGAGAGAGAATTAGCAGCTGCAGCAGAAAAGCTAGCAGAGTGTCAAGAAACCATTTTTCTTCTTGGCAAGCAATTGAAAACTTTGCGTCCTCAAACAGAGATTAGGTGGTCTGCATACAGTCAGAGGAGTCACAAGGGTGAAGGCTTCTCTGAAGAAGAACCAACGACCAGTGGCATGAAGTTGCATGAGAGTGATCCTGCCGAGATGGATACTGCTCCTTCTGCCGATCTGCAGGGATTAAATGGCGAGTCCCCCATGGATCTACACAATGCGCCACTTAGCTTCCCAGACTCTGAACCAAACAATTTATTGAGATCACCAAGCGGTTCAAAGCGTCCAAAACACCTGCCCACCAAGTCAAGCTCCTTTTCTTCATTGCCTGCTCCAACTCCCGAGAAACATTCTCGTGGTTTTGGCAGATTGTTTTCCTCAAAATAAAAGAATGGCCAATACGGCTTGCATCCCACAAGCTAGATAGAATTTTGTTGGTTGAAGAGGCCTTGAAATACGATCCAGAAGCTGCAAATATATACACTAAAGTCCTGTAGATAACAGTCAGGATCATCTTCAACATGTCCATCTCTTCAGTGTCTAAGTTGTTTCTCAAACTGGTATTTCAAACTTGTTTGAATTACATTTGCTGAAGATTGGATGGTTAATCAGCCGTTGATATGATCACTTGTTGCCTACTTGCATACAAGGCCATACATGGCTACCACTTCTTGGATCTTTCTCTTTCAAAGCCACATGTTCTAGTTCATATCGTGGAGACCTTATTTCAGGGGATGCTTTGTGATTATTGTGACATAAATTTTGTATGACTTTACTGTATATGATCTCGGTATCTTATATTTTGTTTTGTTTTCTACTCGCCTGAATAACATTTTTCATTTGAACACACACGGCATAGTTATATATATATATATATATATATTCATTCTCACAAAACTTGGTCCGTGTCGTGTGGCATTACTGCTTCAAGTATACTACTTCATTGATCTACAATGCACACTCTGCTCAGGGATCACCAAGCTTGAACCTAGGTCAGTCACCTAGTAAAGGTAGCCCATGCAACTTGGGCTCACAGTATGGGCGTCAATTGAGATGTGTCATTGTTAGATTGGCACTGTGTTGTGTTAGGGTTTGTGTTATATCTTAGAGTTGTGTCATTTTAAATTCATGTTATTGTTGTGTTGGTACGTATGACCGGTGAACTAGAAAGCCCATGAGTAATGCCCATTTCTATAAATTCTATCAAACAAAGTAACCGTACATATATACCTCAAAATATAAGAATCTACATGATCCGTTAGTAACAAAAACAAAAGAAAATTAAAAAACTCTATTAACAAAACTAGACTAATAAATATAGAAAAAAAATAAAGTATTCCTCGTACAATGCCTATCAAATGAGTTTATGGGTTAAAATCATATTATTCTTGTTTGAAACTGACCCAACTTATTATGCGAGTTAATTGGTTGTACAATTTTTTTGATTCCGATGTGGTGGGTTCAAAGTTATATAGTATAGAAAATTAATTATTGTCTATGCCTGAAGACACAGAATAATAAAAAATGGTCAATAATAAATATATTTGTATTCACATCTAAAATCAAATCACAAATATAAAAGAGAGAGAAAAGAATTTAAGTACTGNATGCCTGAAGACACAGAATAATAAAAAATGGTCAATAATAAATATATTTGTATTCATATTTAAAATCAAATCACAAATATAAAAGAGAGAGAAAAGAATTTAAGTACCGATTATAATAGGAGTGAGCGATGGTAGTGGTGGTGGATGGTAGTGGCGGTGGTTGTCACACCCCGAACCGACTCAGCATGTGACAGGTGTTACTTTAATCCACGGAACGTTACAATACTGAGAAGTCTACGTAGCATAGTATAATAACCCACAATTTACAAACCACAGATTAATGTATAAACATATGCAAAACTTTTAACCTAACATAATCTGAACTATTACAACCTATTATTCAATTAAATATACGTTACATACTAGGTTTTATTTTATTCTATTACAAACTTCTGATATATCTTCCTAAAATATACAGAAACCTTGATAGGTTATTTTGTATACATCTCACAGCTTTCTCATATCTGAAAAAGGGAAAGTAACGTAGGGTGAGCATCAACAGCTCGGTAGAGTATCTCAAATTTCAAGCAAACGAGTTTGAAAATAGTATAGTTTAGCATGATTGGACAAAAATCCAAATGAGTAGTTGATACATATATGTTAGCAAAACGTCATTTCATGTGAAACTGTAACAGATAAATAAAATTATAAAAGAGAGTTCAGAAATTTAAGTACAGTGCTACACTGGTGGGCAATTCATCCTAATAGACTACTACGGGTCCATACGAACATACGATCTAACCTTTTGGGGGACTTCCACCTAGAGAAAGATACGCTCCCTAGTCAACGTTCAGTACCCAAGTCAGAAGACCAACAGGGCCACCCAGACATTTACAAACTCAATCCGGAGTTTCATTCAATACGAACAATTCAAGCAATACTATCATTTCCAAAACATTAGTGCAACCCGCACTCAAAAACCCTGCATCCGGGTCTGAATTCAAGTCAATATTCAAAACAATCGATCAGATATTTCAAAAGATGCTAAAGCATCATAAATAAATAATGGAATAATTTGAAAACAAGTTGAAAAAGCATCACCTGTTCTGGAATTGAGAAACCCTACGCGCTCTGTATTTTGATCTAAAATAACCAAAAATTAAACAATGTTATTTTTTGATGAAATTTAATACACATACTCAATTAAACTACCTAAGAATGAATATAAAATTTATTTTTTCAGAATCACTCAAAACTAGGTTAATTTGACCCCGGAGAGCAAAACAGTCATTTTACTTCTTATTTTGATCCGGCCGTCGGATCGACTTGAAATTTTACCGGGACCTCTGCATGAATGTTACAAAGCTTTTGGAAGAAACCAGAGGTCGATCAGAGGTCAGATGAAGCCAAAATTACCGTCGAAGTCCACTGCCCACTTCATCTTCCACCGTAGTTCATTTGACTTTTACCCTAAGTGCAGAAATTTCTGCTCAACCACCCAACTTTGATTCCCTAGTTCTCCCACTACAGTACACCCTTTCTCTTGATCTCCATATCTACACACTCTTTGAACAACCTAGTTTCAATCCCACATAGATTCAACCTTCGAATTTAACTCTAATATTATCAAATCATTGGTCAAAGTTGGCTAAAAATTATTTTTTAAACACATGGCCAGACCTGCAACTGCCCGTTTAACCCTCAAAACGAACTCTAAATCCAATTTCGAGGCCAGAAATGGATTCCTTGACCCCAAATTAGCAAGACACAAGCCTCATTTCGAAGTTTAAACAAGTTTTTATCAAAATCATATTTTCACTTTCTTAAACTCTCACACCACCATTACACCACCACACACCACGGCAAACCATCAAACCACCACTAAACATCTCCTCAAGACCCTCCAAACTCAGCCATAACAAACAATTAACCCAAAACATGCTCAAACCTCAAACCCGTTTCAAAATCCAAAAACCTACTAAACTTTAAAACACAAATTTATGCATGAATACTAAACCAAATGAAATTCTAAATACATATATGAGTTCCTAGCATCCATATTAGGCTGTAAATATACCTCTTAGTGCTCGAAGTAACCTCTGTAAGAAATCCAAAAATGCAAAGTCTATGTTTCTTTCTCTAACTTCTTTTCTCCTCTCTCTCTCTTTCCACCGAATCCATCTCCATTTTATACCCCCTCAAGCAGCTCTCCCCAAGCAGCTGAGTGTCCTCCATGCAGCCTAGCAAGCCCCCATCAGCCACCTTGCATTGTGTAGAAGGGTCTTGAATCTTCAATGGTAGTTTGGTAATTTCTTTATTTTGTCTAATTTCAAAAATTAATTAATAATATTATTTTTTTTTCCCACAATTACATATATATTAAATCAAGTACTATCGATTAAAATTTCGGACATCGATTTAAACTCCTAACCGTACACATCTAACGATTCTTAATTATTGAAACTCGGTTATTGCAGTGGTGGGGTGGCGATGGCGGTTGTGGTGGTAATGGTGATGGTTGTGAGGGGTGGTGGTGAGGCGATAGAGGGAGCAGCGATACGCATAATGGTTGGACAGTGACGGTGGTGGTAGGGTGGTGGTGGTGGTGGTAGGGATAGTAGAGGTGATAGTGGTGGTCGGGGCGTAGGGGTGTTGGTGGTGGGGTGACGACAGTAGTAATAACGACGGTGGTGATAGTAAGGGGCAATGGTGGTTCTTGTGACGGAAATTGTGGTGGTGGGGTGACGACGATAGTGGTAGGAAAGTGGCAGTGATAATAGAGTGGTGGTGGCGGAAACAGTGATGATGGTGGTGGTGGGGTGTCAACGATTATGATGGTAAAGGGTGGTATGGTGACAATAGCGGTAGTGATGGTAAATAGTAGTGGTAGTGGTGAGACAGTGGGTGGGGTGGTGACATTGCTGGTGGTGGTGGTGGTTGTGGTGGGGTGGCGACAGTAAAAGTGATAGTGGTAATGGTGATGATGGTGGTGGGGTGGGGTGGTGGTGGTAATAGTAATGGTGGTGGGGGTGGTGGGGCGATGTGAGTGATAGTGGTAGTGGTGGTTATTCTAAACACTATTTTTTTTTAAATATTTATGAGAAATTATAAATATTAAAAACACTTTTAAAAAGTCATCTCAAACACACTCTTATGGACCTATATTCCTTATTAAACTTAGAGTGTTAATATTAGCCGTTGGATTAACTTTAAAATAAAATTGAAAGAGATCTCAACCGTGAATAATAAAATTCATTTTATTTAGCTTTTGAAATTTGAATTGTATTATACTTTATTGTATAGATAACTCATNTAAACTTAGAGTGTTAATATTAGCCGTTGGATTAACTTTAAAATAAAATTGAAAGAGATCTCAACCGTGAATAGTAAAATTCATTTTATTTAGCTTTTGAAATTTGAATTGTATTATACTTTATTGTATAGATAACTCGTATTTCTCACCCTTATCCCCCATATCCGCCTATTATTTCGGGTATCTTTGACTCTTTGGTTTTAATTGATTGGGCATTGGAATTTTGTTTATATAAGTATCGAAGATCAAAACAAGGTTAATGAAAAAGATATTTGAAGACTATGAGTGGTGGTCAGTCCACGTGAGAAATGACCCATATGCCCGTAGGTTCCGCACAAACTGGTGTACCACAGACCAAGTAAAGGGTATTATTGATCATGTGATGGTCATCCCCACCCGAGTCTGAGAACGGCCAATTTGTGGAAAAAAAATTCCGTGAGTTATATAATGCTACGTAATGCGTACACTCAATAAAAATTATGAATAAACGACTTAATTAAAGAAAAGTCAACACAAAACCTGGCCGCATTAGCAACTTGATCATTCAGTGATTATTTTATGCTATTTCTATACGGATATTTTTCTGTTTTACTTTTATTTTAAATTTTCTGGAGATCTGGACTTTTTTTTTTTTTTCCTTTCATTTCTTCATTATTTCTCCACGTTGTTCGAAGTCAAGCTTCTTAAATTTGAACTTGCAACATTGACTAGTGTATAGTATAATAATTGATCCATGGCTGCTTAGACAATTTCTGATTTGGTGTCCCGATTAGTAAATTTGAACAAGCTTTATTACAAATCTGATTTCAAACGGAAGATGGGCTCGGGTTGAGTAATTTGAGTTGGAAGATGGGCTCGGGTTGAGTTTGTGTTGAATGTTTTATAACTTGGATCAGATTTGAGTTGATCCCTTAATTCGCCCGAATTACGCCTCTATCTATCAACTTATATTTAAATTTCACAATTGAATATCCAGGTTAATTAAT